ATACGAATGGCCAAAAAGCTCATAAAAAGATACTCAATATCATTACTCATAAGGGAAATGCAAACCAAAACCACAATGAGATACCACTTCACACCCTCTAAAATGTCTACAATCAAAAAGTCAGGTAATAACAAGTGCTGGCAAGAATACAGAGAAATCAGAACCCGTATACACAGCTGGTGGGAATGTAAATTAGTACAACCACTGTGGAAAAAGAGTCTGGCAGTTCCTCAATTACACAGAGTTACCCTACAACCCAGCAATTCCACTCCTCAAAACATACACAACAATACCAATGAAAAAAATATGTCCGTGAAAAACTTGTACACAAATGTTTAAAGCAGCATTATTCATAAGAGCCTAAAGGTAGAAAACTCAAATGTCCATCAACTGACAAATGGATAAACAAAATATGATATATCAATACAATGGAATATTATTAGCCACAAAAGGAATGAAGTACTGATACATGCTACAACATGCACACACCTTAAAAATATCATGCTAAGTATTAGCCAGTAAACAACCACATTATACAATTCCATGAAATGTCCAGAACAGGGAATCTATAGAGACAGAAAGTAAATTAATGGTTGCTTAGGACTTAGGGGTGGAGAAGAGAGGAGTAGGCAGAGGGAAAGGGGAGGGTAGAAAGATTAACAGCTTAAAAAAAAAAAAAAAAAGAAAGGTTAACAGCTAAAGGGTTTCTTTCTTAGGTGACAAAAACATTTTAAAATTGACTGTGGCATTGGTGGGAGCTAAAAATAAATGAATGAACTCACACACACACACACACACACACGCACACACACACAAACGGGGGGGATAACAACTACAATTCCTTGAAGTTGATACGACAAGCAAACAGAAAGGACATTGTTGGAAAGGAGGGGAGAGAGGGAGGTGGGAGGGAGGTTTTGGTAATGGGCCACAATAATCACCCACATTGTATATTGGCAAAATAAAATTATGAAGAAAAAAAAAATTGACTGTGGCAACAGCTGGGTTACTGTGAAGATAGTATTCGTATTTACATCGTAATTCAGTGGTGACAGACCACCAAGTTGCATACTCTAAGTGAGTAAATTATATGGTATGTAAACTGATCTCGATAAAATTGTTTTTTTAAAAAGACACAGTATTTTTTTTTTCTTTCCTTTTTGTCTTTTTTCGTGACCGGTAATGGGATCGCAACCCTCAGTGTCGCGCCCGTACCGCGACCGGCCACGGGATCGCAACCCCCGGTGTTGCGCCCGCACCGCGCTCAACCAGTGAGCGGACCGGTCTCTACATGGGATCCGAACCCTCGGCGGGGGTGGCACCGCGCTCCCAAGCGCCGCACTCTACCGAGTGTGCCACCGGGCTGGCCCAAGACACGGTATTTTTAAAGATCGAGGTTGATGCAAAGAGTCCATCATGAACAAAATATTAAAAAGATAAACAGAAAATATTAAAAATGTAAACACTGTTTTTTCCTTTTGCCCAAGGCTCCAATATAGACCAGCACAACACTGTTACTGATCCTGACTTTAAGGTGTCTGACATAAGGCTTGCTCTGTCACATGTCAGAAATTACTTAAAGACGTGTATAATTATTTTAAGAAAAAAAGAGAAGTTAATAGTTATTTTTTACTAACTAAAGTAGCCCTTTTTTTTTTTTTGGTGGCTGGTGAGTACAGGGATCGAACCCTGGAACTTGGTGTTATCAGCTCTAACCAACTGATAAAGTAGCTTTTTAATAAAATGGTTGGGGCTGGCCAGTTAGCTCACTTGGTTAGAGTGTGGTGTTGTTAACAGCAAGGTCAAAGGTTTAAATCCCTATATTGGCCAACTGCCAAGACAGACAGACAAACAGACAGAAAGAGGTTAAGAAATGTGCGAAAATTACCAGTCTTCAAAACATTATCAACATTCCCTATACTGACCACTATCTTAAAAGATTCCGTGCATGCACATTGTGTGTATATTCCTTACAGACCTCAAGAAATGTATAGAGAATGAATACTGTAGATAAAATGAATCAAAAAAATACTAGCCTAAACCTAAAAAAGAGCCTGACAAATAGATGCTCAATAAATATTTGTTAGGGCCAGCCTGAAGGCCATGGGTTCAGATCCCTAAATAGGTATGGCTAGTTAGCTCATTTGGGAGAGCATGGTGCTGATAACACCAAGTCGAGGGTTAGGATCCCCGATCCCCTTACCTGTCATCTTAAATAAATAAATATTTGTTGAATGTATGAATATACTAATGACATGTCAAAGGACAGAGTCAATAATACAATTTCTAAGAATTATATCTACTACTTATAATTTGACAATTTTCTGTGCATGGGTAATAAAGTAACATATATGGCATATGAAGTTCTTAAAAGAAAATCTATCTTTACAGCAGCAATAGGAACTAATAAATATCTTTTAGGCTCTGCTTTGGGCCTGTAATTTCCACCACTGCTCCATATATTATATATATATATTTATTTACTATTCAATTTCATCTTTAATAAGCTGGACAGATCTTGCTGTATTGTTTTTAATTTACCAGTACATCATTATGTAATTTACAGTGTGTGTGCTGTTCCATTTAGTACAACTGTACTTTTAACATCCCATTAACTTCTAAAAAAATATTTTTGACAGAAAAATAATCTGAAATTTCTTCTTAGAAACCATTTTAAACAGGCAAAAAACAGATACAGTCAAAAACCAAGGGTACATTTGGTACTCTCAAACTACTAATGGTTTAGCAAATTAGGATCACCTTGCTGGAGGGGAATACCTATGAAAAGCCTTAAACTACTTTAGTCTCTTTAATCTGGTTAATTCCCCTGGTAGATTTCAAAGGAAATAATAAAAAATGATGAGAAATGTTTATGTACAAAAATGTTCAGGGCAGCTTCATTTAAAATAGCTAAACAGTCTAAATGTGAATAATTCGGGAACTGTTGAATAAGTAATGTTGCATCCACATTATAAAACCATTAAAAATTATGCTTAGTGAGAATCTTTAATGACATGAAAAAATATAGTATAATCTTAAGTGAAGAGATAATAATATATACATACAAAATATATAATAAAATCTCAAGTAACACAGTTACAATATATATATATTAAAATCTCAAGTAACATACATAACATTTCTGTGATAGGATTATGCTGACTTTGACTTTCGTAAGAACCTTTAAATAACTTCCAAATTTTCAACAACATGCATTTATTTATTTATAAGCCATATCATTAAAAAAGTAGTTGAAGATGCTTAACAGTGAGCCTATATTACATTTATAACTGAAGCACAGGCCATGAGATGACCACACTAATGGGTTCTAGGCCGACACACTGGTCAATCTCCTGATGCTGTTTCCAAGTTGAAACTTAAAATGTTACACATTAAATGTACTATAACAATGTTTACATTATCAAGTAATTCCTACCTATAATTAATATATTAGAATTTAGTCTAAATCTTTAAGAGCATACAAAAAAACTGAGTGACATCAAAATAAAAGATGAGCTCTCCCTGCACCTGCAGGTAGCTCTCTGACCTCCCCTTGTTGACTCCACTTCAGCCACACTGGCTCTTGGAGCTCCTTGAAGACATCAAATACATTCCCACCTTGGAGTTTTTGCAAGGAATGATCTTTACATAAACATATCCACATAGTTAATCTCTTGCCTCCCTTCACACCTTGGCTCAAATATCACTTTCTCAATAAGACCTACGTGGACCTCCCTATTTATCACTGAAACCACCCTTCATCCTGGCACCCTTCACTCTGTTCTAATTTTCTTCTTTCTCCCCAGCAGCTGTCACCTTCCAACAAACTATACAATTTTTAAAATATGTGTAGTGTCATATTTTCCCTCTGGAAAAAAAATTTCAGAAGAGAAGAACTTTGACTTTTAGTCACTGATATGTCCAAAGTACCTAAAAAAGAGCCTGACAAATAGATGCTCAATAAATATTTGTTAGGGCCAGCCTGAAGGCCATGGGTTCAGATCCCTAAATAGGTATGGCTAGTTAGCTCATTTGGGAGAGCATGGTGCTGATAACACCAAGTCGAGGGTTAGGATCCCCGATCCCCTTACCTGTCATCTTAAATAAATAAATATTTGTTGAATGTATGAATATACTAATGACATGTCAAAGGACAGAGTCAATAATACAATTTCTAAGAATTATATCTACTACTTATAATTTGACAATTTTCTGTGCATGGGTAATAAAGTAACATATATGGCATATGAAGTTCTTAAAAGAAAATCTATCTTTACATTTCCTGTTTGTTTCTGTTTGTGTCTACCAAAGACTATGCTGACTTACTGAAAAATGTCCCAATTTTATGCTGTTAACATTGTATAGTGTAACCAGGGAGGCAAATTAAGTGGTTTTTAAAAAATTCATATATCTTTCAGCCAAAGGTCTGGCTAATAAAGAAAAAAAAAAGATAAAATATTCATGTATTAGGCCAAATATGTTAAAACGTACACAACACCCAATACTATTCTGTATTATTAAAGAAAAACAGCTTTTAAAATTACATTTGCATTTTTATTACACAGATTATATACATCTTAACAGTTCAAAATGAGGCCAAATCCTGATGTAAATTTTTATAGATGATAACCCCCATAACTTTCTATTTCAACTGGTATTTCTTCACACTGAAAATGTTCATCAACCCATAAAACACTATCTGGGAAATGGGGAAGCCATGTCAGATATCAAAGGCTTGGCCCATTTTCTGAATCGACATATGCAGTTGAAAACTGCCTAATATCTGAAACGTGACCCAATCAGAACTTATTTTCCTATGATTTCATCTACAACCAGACCATCCCTATTTATTTATTTTAAAGCAATATCCTATTAATTTATACTCCTTTATTCTCAGAGATTAAAGCCTAAAACCTGTGACAAGTTCTCTACAACTCTTAAATAAAACATGTCTTATAGAACAAGAGGGAAAAGCCTCCCCACAGATGTTTAGCCGATACCTCTGAATGACGTTCTACACTTCCAGTGTCTGATCCAGAGTGCTGCTCATTTACATCATCCTCACCGTCTGACCCTGAATCCCGTTCATCCTGTACTGGGGTAGCGCCACCATCATCTGCTTAAAAATAAAACAAAAAACCCACTTATGATGTAAGATGGATGACATCTACTGCTGAAATGAACACAAAAGACCAAAAATTACCACTGATGAAGCATGACTAATGATGCTAATATTTGGAACAAAACAATAATACTCATACAAATACCAACAATCATGACATGTACTGTGATATATATGGCAGCAAAAATACATCATAAAAGGACTGTGAAGCTTAAGAAACATCATTAATGACCAAGCAACAACTTCTAAATATAGGCTGAGTACCCCTTATCCAAAATGCTTGTTTCAGATTTTGAATTTTTTTCGGATTTTGGATTATTTGCAAATTATTATTATTATTTATTTTTTTTAAAAGATGACCGGTAAGGGGATCTCAACCCTTGGCTTGGTGTTGTCAGCACCACGCTCAGCCAGTGAGCAAACCGGCCATCCCTATATAGGATCCGAACCTGTGGCCTTGGTGTTATCAGCACCGCACTCTACCGAGTGAGCCACAGGCCGGCCTGGATTATTTGCAAATTACAAACTGACTGAGCGTCTCTTATCTAAAAATGCTCCAATGAGCATTTCCTTTGAGCATCAAGTTGGCGCTCAAAAATTTGGGATTTTGAAGCATTTCAAATTTTTGGATTAGGGATGCTCAACCTGCAATGTGCTGTTCATTTTTTAATTTTATTTATTTATTTTTTTAAAAGATGACCAGTAAGTGGATCCTAACCCTTGACTTGGTGTTGTCAGCACCACACCCACCCAGCGAGCAAACCGGCCATCCCTATATGGGATCCGAACCCATGGCCTTGGCGTTATCAGAACCACACTCACCCGAGTGAGCCACGGGCCGGCCCTGCAATGTGCTGTTTAACCATTTCAACTTTATATTAAATATTGAGTCTTTCTCTCCACATTATTGCCGGTTCGCTCACTGGGTGAGCGTGGTGCTGACAACACCAAGTCTAAAGTAAAATTGTATTGAAAGGAATTTAGGGCTGTTTATGAATAGTGGAAGACATAGTAGAAGTTAAATAAAAATAAACTTTAAAAAATGAAGCAGTCAACTACAGGAAAACCAAAAAGTTGAATAAGAACGCAATCACTGTCATACTAATGAGCTATTCTACTCAGCTAAAGAGTAAAGAATATTTACATCGTCACAATAAAAATTGTAGTTTTGAAGTTTAACAAACAATTATGCTACAACAATGGGAGGACAGGGGAGAGCAGGGCACATAAGAAACTAAAACACTGTCCTAGCATAATAAGAAATCATTACAGAATGTCTAAAAATTATGCAACCAGAGACAGCACAAATTAGGAACACAGCGGTAAATACCAAAAAACAGCTAAAAGAATGGAAAGTCAGTGGAGGGGGTAAACCAGGGCACTACCATTTAAAAAAAAAACTCTAAGCATTTAACCTATTGACAAGTGTAATTGCTTTTTAAGAAAGTAAATTAAAAGCACAAATAAAATGAAAAAAACTTGAAAACACGAGGAAAACGTTTTAAACAAAACAGCAGAGCCTGGTTGGATTACTACTATTCGCTGTCATATACAAGGAATCAAAGCGAACTCAAAACAGGGAACAACTAAACGTTTACACAAGTATCTAAGCACTTTTGATACAGGATGCCTGAATGGAAGTAGAACACAAAGGGATAACAAACGTAACATGTTTTCCCCCACTAGGTTCTGCCTTATGTAAATCTTTGGATCTCGGGTGCCTAGCACAGTGCCAGCAGAGTGAACCCAGTATAAGTGTTTATTGAACAAACAGGAAAGACGGGAGATCAAACTTCGGTAAGGAAAAAAAGATCTCAAGGTGAAGTAATGGCACAAAAATCACTAGTGCCAAAGACGCGCCCTCACTCTCAAATATACATGCGACTCAAACAAGGGTCCTGCATTGTCTCCTGTCCTGTGTTGCAGGAGTGAAAAGTCTAGGAAGAATCCTCCACCCTCACAGAACTCTCCCTTGGACTCTCAAATCCTGAAAAATCACTTAACAGGGGAGACCTCTCCCTCCCTGGCACTTCGGACACAGTAAGGGTCTTAATTTATAGAAGTGGCTTCCCAATTTCAGTAAAATTCTCCGCCGATTCAGAAGAAGGCTCTTCCTCGAGAATCCCCTCTCCAAGGTTCGAACTTCAGAGCCCGCAGCTAGTAGGCGGGCTCTTCCAGCGCTGCCTCGCTGTCCGCCTCTGGCCAGGTGAGAGGGGAGAACGTCTCTGGGGCCTCCCTCCCTGCCCCGAGGAGGGTGCGAGGCCAAACCCCACCAGTAACCGCTCCGCCCCCAAGCCCGGACCCCCAGGCCCCTGCCCTACCTGACTGGTCGCCGCTGTAATATTCCGAGTCCATGGCAGGCGGACTCTCAGCGGGGAGGGTCCGCGCCCCGCGCCGCCCCCGTCACCTCCTTCTTAGCGGTGTGACCCCCGACGGCGCGGCCCGGTGCTCAGAGGTTCCCGCCGGACCTGAAAGTTTGAAGGGTGCGGAGATTAAAAAAGCAGCAGCGCAGAGGCCAACACTCGGACCTGGAAGTCGGGACAGAAAACGTTGCACCCAACAGTGCAGCAGTCATACAGGCGTGCGAGCCACCGTTCTACTTCCTAGAAGCATCTCTAGGGCCAAAATGGCGTCTGCCCACGACCCTCAAAGGAATGCAGCGCGCAGGCGCCGTCGCCCGTCAACTGGCCAATGAGAAGGCGCAACGGTAATGACGCAAGGCACGGCCGGAAAGGAGACTACTGGGAAAGCGGGAGCTCTGGCTTCAATTAAATGCTTTCTTCGGGAGGCTCGCATTACCACAGCTCCATGGAAGTGATGATGTTAAGTTGGTTCTGTGTGTGCGCTTTGTTTGAGGAGCTTTTGAGTTACTCTTCCCGCTAAAATTACATTTTCCATCTTTCCGCCAAATAACCACCGTTCCCGTCATGCAGCGCTGCGCTCGGTTCCCGCCCTCAGTACGTAAGGAAGTGGCGCGTTGCTCTCTGGGACTTGTAGTTCCAAACCTAGGGAGCTATGTAGGGTTACTAACTGGAGTGATCGAAAGCACCTCCTTTCAAGGCATTTTACTTCTTTCCTTTCTTTTTAAAGACTTAATTTCCATCTTAAGAAGACATTTGGTAAACAATAAGATCTTTGCTTCCAGAAAGCTTCCCTGATGAAACCTTGCAGAGGATGACGTTGAACTTCACCTGAGCCTTTTGTTCCAGGAAAACAGCAGTGATTAAGAAACCTCCTCATCCACTTGGGTTCTTGGAAGTGCTCACTGTAGAGAACCACCCTTTTCCATATGGCTTAGGTAAAACGTATGCAGATGATCGTCTTGTTTACCTGTGACAAGGCCAGACAAAGACTTTTATCCTTCCATCTGAACCTGTTAGTAAGGCAGAACACAGACCCTCCAAATTCCCATTCATGGGCTCAAGAATGATTATTTGAGATTAGAACTCTTTGCCCCCCTGAAACTAGCTAGACACAGGGATAAACATTTTCTGTTCGCCTGACCGGCTGAAACTTCTACTGGTTGCAGAACAATCCCAACTATCAATTATCCCACCTTCCACCCTTACAAAAGTCTAAAGCACAGCCACCTTGCCAAGACACTGATCATATCTGGGGTGCTCTCCCTATTGCAATAGCCTGAATAAAACCCATTTTCTTACTTATTTGTTTTTGTCTTAGAAGAGGAGGAGAACATCATTGCCTTCTGATTGGAGTAGGGCAAGTGGAGATGTAAGCAAAGATGTACCAGGAGGTGTAGACTCGTAGAAATAGGGCCTATTGTTACTACTACACATAAGTGACCCTTTTGTTAGCCAGTCAGTATATGTTGGCAGACCTCAGTACTAGGCTTCTGAAAAAGACAGGGGAAGGGAAGAAAGAAGGAGGAGTGGTTTCTCTCTGGAAATTGAATTTTCTGTTTTCTTACAAGAGAGTTCGTAGGTATTAATTCCCCAGTGTAGTGGAGCTTTGAAATCCAAGTTCGGCCCCTTCAGCTGTGGGAGTGACATCTTCTCAGGATGTTATGAAAATCAAAAGAGCGAAGACTTAACAGTGCCTGGAACCAAAGGTACAAAAATAAAATATTTGTTTTTTTCTTTTGGTCCTTTTTGAGACCGGCCGCACCGCGCTCAGCCAGTGAGCACACCGGCCATCCCTATATAGGATCCGAACCCGCGGCGGGAGCGCAGTAGCGCTCCCAGCACCGCACTCTCCCAAGTGCGCCACAGGCTTGTCCCCCAAAATAAAATATTTGTTTTTTTCTTTTGGTCCTTTTTGAGACCGGCCGCACCGCGCTCAGCCAGTGAGCACACCGGCCATCCCTATATAGGATCCGAACCCGCGGCGGGAGCGCAGTAGCGCTCCCAGCACCGCACTCTCCCAAGTGCGCCACAGGCTTGTCCCCCAAAATAAAATATTTGTTTCCTTCATTTGATAGAAGAGACCCAGGATCTAAGCTCTGAAAGAGTGGGTGAGATTGTACCTGTGTAAATACGGCAGGATGAAAAGGGCAGAAGTCTAGGAAGACGTTCAATGGAAAGAAATCCAGCACAAATACCACCTGTAAAGACCTTTTAGTTTCACCAGAGATATACAACCAGTGGCCGTGAAAGTGACTGTATTATAAACAATGCAATTGCACGAGGATAATTACTGAATTTTAACATAAAAACTAACTGTCCTGGTGGTTTGGAGAATGGAGAGATAGAAGCAGACTGAACACACAATAATGTGCTTAGCTCCAGAAAGCTGCAAAGAAGCATCAGATCTTAGTTTTTACACTTAGGAAGCCAACAATTTAGTTAGAGACAGGAAACAGCTTTCAAATAAACATAGAGCCTAGTTGAACCAGTGTGGTTGTCAATGTAAACACACTTCAGGAGCGTTCCCCAGAGCTCCTTTCTATCATTGGCTGTCCCTCGGGGCCCCTGGTAGAGAAATTCTAGAGCAGCATAGATGTGCCTTTCTGAGTCTTAGCTGTCTTGCATTTTGAGGACTGTTGTCTCCGCACCTCACACCCCACCACTTCACCCCAGCACTGTTGGCCCATGGTAGCGTTAGTGAGGTACCCAAAAAAGAGGCTGTTTTCCCCACTAAGGATATTAGGGACAGAGAAGAGAAGAATGGAGAAGAAAGCTCACAGCAGTCCAGAACTCTTTCTCTCTTAACTGATAACCCGGAGACACTGATTTCCCTAAATGAATATCAGGTTTATAACCTAGAGAAACTGAGTTCCCTAAAGGAATATCAGGTTTATTTGACCAGCCTCTTGAGACACTGTGACCTGAAGAACATATCAGGGAAAGGCCACGCAATGTAAGAAATAGCCTGGCACTGACAGAGCTGCAGACTAGGTTCAAGCCTAGCTCTGAGCTTATTGTGCTTGATGAGCTGGGACAAGCTCCCAGCCTTCTATGAGTCTCAGTTTCCCCATGGGTCAAATGAGGGGGTTGAGACAGAAGATTTCAAGGCCCCTCAGCTTCATTATTCTGTCAGAGAAGCCACCTGTGACCCTGCCTTGAACCGCTAGGGGGCCCTGCCAGGAAAGAAACAAAAGAAATGAGTGCATATTAAGACTGCTGTCCTAGCTGTGTGCATGTTCTCACAAATCCCAGCCTCACAGCTCAGGAGAACACACGGAAGGTTTGTCCTATCAAGATTGTTTGTAATCCAGAAAACTGCGACCCACTTGAAAGCCCATTGATAGTGACTAGTGAATTACTAAATACCAGTACCATAGCACAATTTGCAGCCATTAACACAACAGAAGCAGATCTTTAGCTGCTGACATGGAAGGATGTCCAAAGTACATATATAGATAAGTAAAAAAAAAAAAACAGGGTCATATACCACTATAAATAGTATGATTTTGTTTATGTGAACAACCAAAATAACAAACAAACAAATATGCAACCCAAGAATCTTTTAATAAACATGGAGGAGAAAGGACTTTCCAACAATGATTCAAAAGCCAAAAGCCATAAAACAAAAGATTGAAAAATGTAAAAAGAAAAAATATTTTTAAATAAAACCAATGCATACAAAAACAATACAACATTAGCAAAGTAAAAAATAAACAATTAGGAAATCTAAAAAAACAAATTGTAACTCATGTTACATACTGATGGCTTGTCTCAGTAATGAGTACAGACCCCAGAAATCAATAAGACAAAAAACCCAATAGAAAAATGGGCAACAGTTATGACAGTTCACAGAAGAGAAAATATTAATGGCTCTAAAATACATAAAAGATATTCAACCTAAAATAAGAGAAAAGCAAATTAAAATCACATCGAGATACTACTCATCACTTCTCAGACTACAAACATCAGATAGCATTCCATTGGTGAGGATGTGGAGAAATAGGCCCTCACACAAGGTGCTCGTGGAGGGATATTAGTACAGACCTTTACAGAAAGCAATTTGGAAATATTTATAAAAATTACAAATCCATATGACCTT